TGGCAATGAAACGATATACAATAGGATGAATGTAAAACTAATGTTCTCCCATGTAAACTATCACATAATTCACAATAAAACATTTTTTAAAAATTAATAAAAAAGAACTGCCCAGTTCATATCCTAAGTGTCACCAGGGTTCCCCAGTATTTCTATGTTGTTAAGTTGTTAAGTGCTGTCGAGTCAGTTCTGACCCATAGCGACCCTGTACAGGGTTTCCGAGGGTGTAAATCCTTACGGGAGTAGAAAGCCTTATCTTTCTCCCGCGGAGCGGCTGGTAGTTTCGAACTGCTGACCTTAAGGTTCACAGCCCGATTCGTAACCACTACGCTACCAGAGCTCCTTTCATATAAACATATTTTAAGGTTCATTTAAAGCTTCCTGGTAGCATAGTGGGTTACACATTGGGCTGTTAACCTCAAGGTCAACAGTTCAAGTGCTCCAGCCACTCCATGGTATAAAAATGAGGCTTTCTGCTCCCTTAAAAGATTTACCGTCTTGGAAACCGTATATAGGGTGGCTTTAAGTCATAACCAACTCAACGGCACAGAACCACCAACCACCACTGCTCATCTTTGAGGAGTCTTGTTATGGTACTATAGGGTAAGCACTGACTGCCGACCACAAGGTCAGTGAGTCAAACCCACCAGCTGCTCCTTGTATACCCTATACAGGGTCGCTATGAGTTGGAACCGACTTGACAGCAGTTAACAACAATTAAGGTTCATGTTTCTGAGTTTTCCAGATACTGTTAATATGTGTAATGTTCTTTGAAGAGGATTTGGCACATAGAAAGCCCAAAGTAAGTACAGGCATATCTCAGAGCTATTGGGGGTTCTATTCCAGACCACTGCCATAAAGCAAATATATCGGTAAATCAAGTCACACAAACTTGTACTTTCCCCAGTTCATTGTGGCACTGTAGGATAAGCACTGGACTGCTAACTAAAAGGTTGGTGGTTCAAACCAATCAGCCACTCTTTGGAAACCCTACATAGGGTTGCTATGAGTCAGAACTGATACAGCACTTAACAGCAACAACTTCAAGTTCATATAAAAATTATGTTTCCACTCCACTATAGTCTATTGAGTTTACAATAACATAAAAAGTTAGAAACAGTGTGACAGTGACCAGAATGTGACACAGATGTGAAGTGACCACATGCTGTTGGGAAAATGGTGCTGATAGACTTCCTTCATGCACAGTTGCCACAAACCTTCATTTTATATAAAAACATTTTTAAAAAACAAAACACGCAATGTCTGCCAAGCACATTAAAGCAGACTGCCATAAAATGAGATGTACCTGTATTTACTGTTATTATTACTCTCTCTCTCTTAAGTTTAAGAAGTAACCAAAATACTGCAAATCCTTTTCAAGGGAAAAGGTGGACCAGAAGGCAGATGATGATGCCTATGAAGCCGAAATCCAAGTAGAAGTAAGTGAGTTGTTGGAGGAGCACCTGGAAGACTATGAGCAGAAGATGGAAGAGTACAGAATGGCTTATCAGCACTGGAAGGCTTGGAGGAAAGCCCAGGTATGGACACAGCAGCTGCGCCCTGGATGGGGCTGACCCGAGGGACAGAGAGAGCCTGACCACTTGAGGACTCCCATTGGCTTTGCTCTTCCTCCCTCTCAGGCCCTCACTAGACTAACATGTTTCATTAGAAAGTCTTCTAGCCAGCTCTACTCACAGATAATTTCATGCAGACACTCTGTCACCATCTGAATGAATAAACAAGTGACAATAGCAATTGCTAATGGGAATGACCACTTGCTACCAATTCCATTCCTGCTCAGGGCAAACCCATATGTCCCCAAGTAGAACTGTACTTCATAGAGTTTTCAATGGCTGATTTTTCAGAAATAGATCACTAGGCCATTCTTCTAAGGTGCCCATGGGTTGGGAGATTTGAACCCCCATCTTTTTGCTCAAGCAGCCTGACATGTTAATTGTTTCCACCGCACCTTGATGCCACATTAAGTATTATGCACGCATTATCTCACTAAATACAGAAGATTGATCCTATTCTTCTGAATTTTCCTCTGCAAAGAATATAACTTTATACACAGGGCCCTGCAAAATTGAGTCCAGGAGTAACTAATCCTAGATCAGCATGACCAACAATACCAGTTGCATTCACAAGCCTGGTTTTCATTTCCAGACATGTCCTTATCTTCGGAACCTATCTGAAAGATACACGAATCACTAACATTTTTAAGGCTCTCAACGAGACAGGCACGGTTCAAATTGCTTTATGGGCTCCTCCTCATTTCAACCTCCATGGAAGGTGTTTGTTATTGTTGCCCCATTGTATGGATGAGAAAACTGAGGCTCAGAGAGGGAGGTCAAGTGGCTTAGTGACCTGGCTGAGTGCACACAGTGAGCTGGGGTTGAACCACATCCTGGTCTGTCTCCTTCTGAAGACTATGGCTCTTTACCAACATTTCCAAGTTCTGGTTTGATATCACATTGCCTTTTTCCCAACAGAGGGCTAAGAAGAAGAAGAAGAAACAAGCCGTGGTAGAGCATCCAGATGAGGAGTCTGAGGAACCATGTCCAGAGGCAGAGCCCTGCCCGGGGGAAGAACCTGTGAAACCCGTCCCTCCAGAGCTCACTGAGCAGGCAGTGATAGAGCAGCAGGTCAGGGAGAGAGCAGCCCAGTGCCGGAGGAGGTCCGGGGAACCCGTGCTGGTCCCAGAGCTGAGCTTGGCAGGGAGCATAACACCCAACGACCAATGTCCCAGGTGAGTGGATACACCAACCACGAATGCCGTGGACATCTCTCTGACACACGGGTATTAACCATGGACAGTATATGCCTCCTTACCTACACAGTAAGATCAGGATAATCACTTCTTGTTGTTCCTGGATGACACCAAGTCAGTTTCAACTTGTAAGGATCCTATGTGCAACAGCATGAAACTCTGCCGGGCCCTTCACCAACCTCATAATATCATAAGTGAGTCCATTGTTGCAGCCACTGTGTCCCTCCATTTCATTGGGGGGGGAAGTTTCTTCCTCTTTTTTTGCTGACCCCCCACTTTACCAAGCATGTGTCCTTCTCCAGGGACTGGTCCCTCCTGACAACATGTCCAAAGTACATGAGATGTAAGTCTCACCGTCCTCACTTCCAAAACACACTGTGGTTGTACTTCTTCTGAGACAGATTTATTCATTCTTCTGGTAGTGGCGGTGGCGGTGGTTGTATGTCACCAAATCAGTTCTGACTCATAGTGACCTAAACAGGGTTTCTGAGGCTATAAATCTTTATGGGCGCAGAAAGCCTCATCTTTCTAACATGGAGGGACTGGTAGATTCAAACTACTGACCTCACGGTTAGCAATCCAGCTTATAACCCACTATACTACTAAAGCTCCTGGTGATGTCAGTTCTGAGTCAGAGTGACCCTGTATAGGGTTTCCAAGGCTTTGAGCCTTTAGGAGAGCAGAAAGTCTCATCTTTCTCCCATGAAGCAGCTGGTAGATTTGAACTGCTGACCTTGACGTTAGCAGCTCAGCACGCAATCCACTATGCTATCAGAGCTCGTATTCTTCTGGTAGTCTATGATATGTTCAATATTCTTCACCAGTATTATAATTCTAATGCATCAATTCATTTTTTTTTTATGTTTTATTGTGAATTATGTGATTAGCTCTACATTCATCCTATCATATATTGTTTTATTGCCATGGTTACAATCATCTCCATGCATCATCAGCCAACCAAATGTTATGCCCTGCAAGCTTGCAGCACACAGTCCCTGTCCCTCTCTGGGTCTAAAGTTCCCAGATGCTGCATCTCTCCACATCATCATCTCTGCCTCCGTCTCTGGCCTCACTGCTTCTCTGGGTAGGGTCTCACATTCCGCTCTTCTTCCCTGATGGTTCCAGGGACCTCAGCTCCTGGACTGAATAGTCAATCACTCCTCCTTTTGCTACAAAATGCACACCTTTACATTTCTGACCCTCACAGTCAGTCCTGATAACAATTATTCACCATTGTAC